TCTATCTATCTATCTATCTATCTATCTATCTATCTATCTATCTATCTCTTTTACCCTTATGGGTAACAGGCCTGGGAGTTTGAGGGTTTTGCCCTTCCATTGATCCCTTTGGCTTCTACTATCCACACCCTCTCCAGTTTTTCCTTCAAGCCCTGATACTTCTACAGTTTTTTATACTCCTTCCTGATGTTGCTATTACTTGGTGGTAAGAGCTCTTGGGGCTGTGATTCTTGGGGCTGGGCGAGAGAGTCTCCAACATCGGAGTTTGCTCTCCAATGGGTGTAGAGCTAAGAACAGCTAAGATCCAGCAGAAAACTTTCAAACTCCCAGGACCCTCGAGTAGAGGACCAGAGATTGAGGAAGACACAACCCACCATAGGAGTGAGAAGGGATTTTTTTGTATGTATGCATGTATACTTGTGTGTAAGTGTGTATATAGCTATAATTATACACCTTGCACATTAAAATATAATGTACTGGTAGTGCTAGTTTAACCACTGCCTTGTTTAGTGACCGTGCACAATTAGCACCATAAGGAAAAACTAACTTTATGAGCAATCCATGCATTTACAAACCTCACAGGCCTATAAAGCAAAGAAAAGCTGACAAAAGTTTAAAAGCATATTTTACTTGGTGCTTGCTTTGCTTATCAGCCGAACTGATGGTCCCAATTTTAGTTGCTCAACAAGGACTACTTGTATTCAGTATATATTAAATTAACAGCCAAAAAACCCATAGTTTTAACAGCAAAAGAGATCATTGAAAAAAAGAGCTGAACATATTTTCTGGGGACTAGCAAAGAGAAGATTAATTTGCCTCTGTGATGGTCCCACACATTCAGAGCTACTCAGAAAGAGTTTCTATCCACTGGGAGACTTACACCTCCCAGAAGGGAAATTCTTTACAATTCCTTCTTCCTAATTGAATCCAGAACTTCTCCTTTTAGTATTAATGGATAAACAATTGGAAAAAAGCCAGGGAAAGCTATTTCAATATATGATTACTGTTACAAGTTTGTTATATGCAGAGAGAAAGATTCAATGCTACCCACTTTGGAGGAATGATCAGTGAAGTTGACAAGAGCTGCAGGAAATTTCCTGGCAAAAATTGTTCAACACCTTCTCGATAGAATTCCTAATTTCATCTTTGTTTCAAAGGCCAATACAATCCACTGACTTTTTCAGGCTTCCCAGTGCAAATTTCTTTGTTCTTCAGCCATCATCATTATTTTCTTTTCAAATATTTTTCAATGTAGAGAAAAGTAAAGTTCTACACTTAGGCCAGAAAATCCAAAAGTACATATATAGATTGGGTGAAACCAGTCTTAATAGCAGTAACTATGAGAGGGATCTTGAAGTCTTAGTGGACAACCAGCTAAATATGAGCCAGCAGTGCGCAGCAGCAGCCAAAAAAGCCAATGCAATCCTAAACTGCATTAACAGAGGGATACAATCATGATCAAGGGAGGTATTAATAACACTCTATAAAGCCCTAGTAAGACCAAACTTAGAATACTGCATCCAGTTCAGAGACAAGTAACCAAGATGATTAGGGGACTGGAGACTAAAACGTATGAAGAACAGATACAGGAACTGGGCATGGCTAGTCTAGTGAAGAGAAGGACCAGGGGAGACATGACAGCAGTGTTCCAATATTTGAGGGGCTGTCACAGAGAGGAAAGGGTCAAGCTATTTTCTAAAGCACCTGAAGGCCAGACAAGGAATCATGGATGGAAACTGACCAAGGAGAGATTCAACCTAGAAATAAGGAGAAATTTTCTGACAGTGAGAACAATCAACCAATGGAACAGTTTGTCCTCGGAAGTTGTGGGAGCATCATCACTTGAGACCTTCAAGAAGAGATTGGACTGCGACTTGTAAGAAATGGTGTAGGGTCTCCTGCTTAGGTGGGGGTGGATTGGACTAAATGACTTACAAGGTCCCTTCCAATTCTGTTAATCTGAATCTGAGCCTGGAGGCAGGGCCCTTGGCGTATGTGTTGCCCCATGCTCAGGAACATAGCCAGGTGTTTAGACCTTTACGAAGAACCTGTATGGTTCATCAGCTTCTATGAACAAAGCCACCTAGCCTTCAGCAATATAGGCTGTTCCTCATTCCCTCCTTGCTTTCCACACTGTCTGATGCAAGACCTACAAACCTTAACAAAATGAATTGTACTTTTCTCCACTTGTCAAGTTGTTCAAGTGATCGATCACAACTTTATATTTCTTTATCATTCTTATCTCTTTTCAGCTGTTATAAAATTAATACAGATTGATTTTAACCTGGAAATGTGCATCTTCAATTTATTGAGAGAAAATGAAGATTATTTTAAAAGGTTGCCATCTACAGATGCACCTATTATCTGTAACATGGAGCACACTGAGTTTAAAGTCTCTGACAGAATCGTGAATTGGCCTGACATTTCCTAAAACAAATTCTACTGGATAAATTGATGTATGGAAAAATTCTCAAGGTTCACTGGTTGAATAATATAAAGACTATAGTAAATTGTATGAAGAACATCTCCAACAAAATTTAAATATTTGCATATTCTATTCCTGAAACTGCATTACAGATTAAAATATGTTAACATATTTTCCCTGATAACAATAATGGTAGTAAAAGCTATATAAATTAATATTCAATCAGCTACATCAAATAGACAGTTTAAAAGTAAAGATGCAGGAATAAAACTTGGTCAAGCTTCTTGCGCTTTCCTCCATCATCTCAGCTCACCAAACAGCTATTTTTATGTCTCACCTATTGGGAGGTCGCTCCCGGTTGTGGAGGGGAATCCTAGCCAAAGAGCTAGAAAGACCACAAGGAGAAAGATGGTGAGCAGCTTCATGCTGTCTTTCAGATTCAGCAAATGACTTAGAATGATCAAAAACTACTTCTGGGCAGAGCAGTATATGAGCAGAAATGTGGTTAGTGCTACAATTGCACAGAACTGCTCTCAGGGTTTTGCCAAACAGGTTTGTATGCTTCCGTTTTTGTCTTCTCCCCACATATGAAGCAATTCTTTTCATTTTTGTTGAACAGAAGCTTTGGCTACAACAGGAGGGAACATTAATAACTGCAATATTATGGGATAATATAGATCATCATAACACTTCCATGATTGTAAATCTTAGGTTCCCTGATGTCCAACAAAAGGGAATGTATTTTGTCTACATGTCCTCTGTCTGGCAACCAAAGTCTTAAAAACAAACAATATATTTTTAAAATTTTTGAATATTTTTGATAAGGATAGTCATTCAAACTTTTATACATTGTGGTCTTGTAAAATGTCTGTTTCTTTCCTTCCCTCAACAGGCTCAACCCCCAAGATTTATATAATTTATTTCCTGATTCTAGCAACTATCTTTAATCTGGATCTTTCAGTCTATGATCTCTATTCTGTAGATCACTGTAGAGTTGTATTTGCAGGAATATTTCAATCTCGGATGGCAAACCTCAGATAAAGAATGTTTCCAAGCAAATACAACTCAGGAAAACAAAGTCACTAAGCTATGGATAAAGGAGGATTAGAGAGGGGAAGTAGACATATGTTAGACTTTAACTAGAGGTAATTAATTGTATGGATTACTGTACTAAACAGTAACGAAAGTTAAGCAGTAACGAAAGTTAACCAATGATGGAGGATAACTAAAAATGTATATAAATGCAAGACTATACTTCAATAAAGATCATCATAATTCAGTTGTTCATGATCAAACAACTCTACTGCCTCGTCATTACAACAATCACCTCATATATTTCTAATAAATGTATTGAATATTGAACCCAGCATTGTGTTGTATAACTGTGTTGAAAATACCTGCTGCAAATAACTGTAGATAATATAGTAAATAATATAAAAGCCTGTTCTCTGTTTTCGCCCCCACTGCCAACATTGCAAATGATACTTTCCACAATTGCATTGTGCATTGTGCTGATTTGTTGAAAGTCAGTTTTGAGTCAGTTGCATTGCAGATATTCAATTAATTTACTATATATACAGACAAGGCAGAAACTTTAAAAAAATATTCTGAATGTACGGATATTACACAATCAGGCATTATTGTATCACAATAGAATCATATGACTTAGTGCAGGGGTGTCAAACTCACAGCCCATGGGCTGAATGTGTCACGTGATGACCCCGTCCCCACCCGGTTTAGCAAGGGGAAAAAAGTCTTGATATGTCACGTGACGCCGCTGTGATGAGGCAAGTTTGACACCCCTGACTTAATGTATTGTTACTATTGAGAGATTAGTCAGGTTGCTTCCAGCACTGAATAAGTATTTTTTTTCTGTAAGTCAGCCATTTATTTTCTGAGCAACTTAGCAGAAGTTTATATTTGGTTTCTGAATTCATTGAAGTCTGTCTTCCAGGGTAACATTGCCTCCAGGAGCTATTATTTCCACTTCTTATGAAATATCCTGGTCATTCTGTTTTATTTTACCTTAAAATGTTATTATCAGATCAATCTGACTCCACCTCTCTGTTCACATCCAAGAACTGCTCAATAATTTGCTCTTGTAGGATTGGTTCTAAACCCTTTTAGATATTTAGACATTTTAGCATGTATATGCTACAATTTTTCTCATTTTTCTGTTTTAAGTAACTATGATTTCAGTATTTTGTCTGTGCTGGTCTGTGGCAGTTGAAAGGAAAGGAGTGATAATAATAGAGGTGATGAACCTCCTGCAACTCTTAGCTGAACTTCTTAAATGTTGATTGAATGCCAACAAAGGTTAGAGTTTGTGAAAAAACTGTGTGAAAGAGAAAAGAGAGAAAGAGAAAAATAAATAAATTCTTGTATTTCCCGCAAGAGATTAAGCTGGTTCATGAAGAAGACATTAAATATTTGGCAAAGGGATTAAACCCTTTTGTTGAACTTCATAGTATTTTCTGGATACGTTTATACACAAGGAAGGGGTCAAGCTATGGATGTCACCAGTGCATTTGCAGCACATTGGTATAATTAGGAGAGTGCTGAATTTTTGAGTCCAGCTTTTCTACCTTTCCAGGTAAAATGCAGGGAGGGTTCCCATTAAAGGGAAAACCCAACTCATAGAGCAAAATGATGTCACCAATGACTTCTCAATGCATTGAAATAGTTAGGAGAACTACCAAACTAGTTTTCAGAGGAAACCATTCACTGGACATGTTGTCAAAGAAGAAGCCAAATGATATAATAAATAAAAACTTCTGTCAATCTTGGTTGGAGGAACTTGAGTTTTAAATGAATGGCTGAAGAATTGAAAATAAGAGTCAAGGACCAGCCTGTATGGGAATTGAATAATGTATCACATTTTTTTTTATTTCTTAAATTTATAACCCACCCATCTTATTATCAAGTGACACTGGGCAGCTTCCAATATGATAAAAACTACACAGTAAAACAATGTGTACTGTGTTAAAATTTAAAATTAACAAACATTACTTAAGATAGGAATTTCAGTACACAAATAGGCAGGGGTGAGGTCATTTTTTAAAATCCATTCACCACCTCCAGTATGGAACATGCCCATCAGGGCCCAAGGGCAATTGGAAGAGGCAGATTTTGAGAGCCTTTTCATAAACCTAACAGAATGCATACAACCCTTACCTCGAGGGATACAATGTTCCAGAGGGAAGAACCATAGCAGAGAAAGCTTTCCTCCTAGACCTTGCCAGCCAGAATTCCTAGAGCAATGGGGTCCACAGCATGCCCGACCTGCCAGAGTCAGTGGAGTGGACCAATGTTCCTCAGGTAGCCTAACCCCATGCCATAAAGGGTTTGACAGTGCTAACTAAGAGCTTGAATTGGACCAGGAAGCAAACCTGCAACCTATGCAGCTCATGAAACACCTGTGTGATCTGGGTCACTCTGGGGACTCCGGAACTGCCACTCAACTGCATTTTGTACTAGCATTAGCTGTCAAATACTCTTCAAGTGTAGCCCCATATAGATTGCACTGCCGTAGTCCAAACATGAGATGAGCAGGTCCTGAGTGACTGAGTGCAGGGAATCCCAACCCAAGAAAGGACACTACTGGCACACAACCCAAAATTGCACAAAGGACTCCCTAGTCACAACTGCCACCTGCTCTTTAGAACATGATAATGTGAAACCCAGTGTGTTCTTGAGAAGAATGGGGACATAAAGTCCTACCTGAATCTGAAAACTTCATACCTTGGAGTCACACAAGTCCTTTTGCAACAAATAAGACAGCACTTCAACTTTCGTGGACAATCATTATCATTGTGGCAACTCCTAGGATAATTAATGCAATGGCAGGCAGCATATGGGCACATTCCTGGCTTTTCCAAAATTATTTGTCCTGGCAATAGAAGAAGATAGTGCATGGAAAAAACAAACAGTTTTGGGATCAATGTACCTATACTTGTTCTGTACCTTACACAAAATGTAATATACAGATAGCATCATGGATCAACTGCCTTGTTTAGTGTCTGTTTGCAAAGGAAAGCTGAGGTAAGTTCATAAGCATTGCTTCACTTATTGAGTTGACTGTCCAATTGTCCAAAACTATGGTTTTCAACAGCAAAATTATTCCTAAAACTTGTTGAAAAGAAGAGGTGCACTCATTCTGCAGATTTCTAAAGAAGTGACTTGCTTAGCTTCTGTGTTTGTGCCATGATTTCAGACCTACCTTAGAAAGGATTTCTATCCATTGCTGCCTTTGGGAGAGTGAAAACAGCCTCCCCAGGGTTCTGGAGACTTTCCAGAAGCTGGACACGGATCCATTTCGCGACTTCTGGTGTTTCCAGTAGGGCTATTTTTCACCTTCCTAAGGGTCCAGAGGCTTCCCTTGGGCTTCTGGGAGTGCGAAAACGGCATCCTTCGGGCTCTGGAGGCCCTCTGGAATCCAGAAACGGGCCCATTTCTAGACTTCCGGTACTTCCAGAAGGCCCATCTTTCCAGAGCCTCCACCCAGACCCTTCACTTACCTGAATCAAATGGGTTGTGTGGAGATTTCTGGGAGCAGGGTGGGCTGGGCCAGATGGTCGGTTCAAATACCAGTTCAGAGAACCATATGCAAATTTAAGATCCAGTTCACTTGAACCAGTCTGAACCATAGAATCCCACCCCTGATTGCTAGACTTACAGCTCTGAGAAAGGAAACGTTGAAAAAATTCTCCTTCCTGAGTTCTGTTGTGGTGCTATTTCTGTTTGAAATAGGGAGGATTCACAATTGGCACTGAGGATAAGGCAAATTTTGGACACATTTGCTCTACACATACTTTGTAGAATTCCTAATTTTAAGTTCCTTTGAATGGCCAATGTAATCCGTTGACTTTTTTAGTTTCCAAATGCATTTGCCACTTACATGGCAAATGTCAAGGAAATTCAGAGTAGTTAGATAGCATGATCTATTGCTATCCTTGGTTAAATGTGGCTTGCTGGTTCAACAGCTGTTATGAACACAGCCACCTAGTCTTAAAATGTGTTGAATATTAGTAGCTCAGATGGGTAGTTAGGCTGTTGGTTTGAACTCTGATCTTGGCAATTTGGCTGCAAACCTTTGGTCAGCCACTTAGTCTTCACTCTTTGGGAATTTTGTCTGTTCTTCATTCTCTCCTCTCCTGCATATAACCTTTCTGATGCAATACCAATACATTTTAACAGATGAAGCCTAGGACTAATATGGAAGAAGTTGAGTTTGAAATCCCCAACATAACCCTGAATTGGCCTGGCTTGGCTTAACACAAATCTTTATTTGACAAATAAATAATGATACGGGAAATATTTCAAGATCCATTGATTGAATAACATAAGGACTACAGTAAATTCTATGAAGAACATATCCAACAAAATTTAAAC